TATACATATCTCTCTCTCTCTCTCTCTTCACTTGCTGTGGAGATCATATGTCCATTTTCTACCATCACACGGCTGCCATACGAGAAACAGCCCGTTGTCATGCGTTTTGCAGAGTCAGTTCCCCGGCAGCCAGGGTTTCGGGCTTAGGCTGGTGAATGTCGTGCACGGATTGTCTCGCATCTTGCCGGAACTGTTCACAGGGATTGTGCAAACAAGTATGGGGCTGCAAAAGGAGCTTCCGAATGCTTCCGAAATCAGGCTCCCCTTCCAACCCAAGAATGAATCACAGGAGCCGTATTTTGTATTTTGAGGGCATGTCTCATTTTCGTGCATACAAAAAAGCGTAACGGGAGTTCATATAATTCTTGGCTCATGCTACTAATCGGAGTAACCGGGGTCTACAGTTCAGGGTGAAGCTTAAGCCGCCGACTCGTGATGAGTTTGCCTTCCGCAAGGGGTTATCATGGCATTGTAAACTGATCCTTGGAGCCTAAATTCCCCTGCCGAACTTCAGCACTCGCCGGTCAGCAAGGCTTGCAATGAGCTGAACAAATTTGCCCCCCAGCTTGTCGTTTACTCACCAGAAAATAAGCACATTTTGCCAAGATGCTGGGGAAAAGCCCCTCCGGATCCTGTCCCGAAAGCCTGAGCAAGTTCCAAATTTGAGAATTGTAGGCTGTGCCCAACCTAGCTACAGAGGTACAAGGGCTCTACCTGTCAGAAGCCACCATGTTGTTCCTGGGAAATCCAAAGAGATTTTTCTCGGAGCCCTACGACTCGAGACTATCTGCACCAAGCACATCGGTCTACACTAGACACAGCGCGAGGCGCGTGTAGATGTCGGTGTGGCATAGGGCATTCGAGTGCACCTCCAACCATTCGTCATGCTGCAGCAAGCTCACAGCATCTTCGCAAGAAACCGCGAACCAAGTGTGACTTCATGCTGCCTAAGACTAAACCCATCTTGGAAGAAGCTCCCATTTCCACGACCAGCACAAGCCACTTTGCAAATTCCAAGCCGTACTTGAAGCCTTCCTGGAACTCAACTGTAAGTCAAGAGTCAAGATCGCCTCATTTTGCACACTGGCCCACAGCCCTTGCTGAGTGTCCATTGCCTACACAGCCTACGAGCCCGCTTCACTCGTTCAGTTTCGTGAGGGTGTCCTGATTGTCCATCCTCTGCTGAACCTGCCGTCCAACACAATGCGTTGAAATACTTAGAGGTTCAGAGTGAACAAGACTGAGGAGCAAACCTAGGAATGCTCAAGGTACTACCAAAGAACTTCCACCAAGGCAATCTGTGCTTGCCTTAAAGATCATCTATCCTGATCCCAAAGCAAACTCTGCTGGGATCAAGGCGGAGCAGCTCATGCTCAGTTGGAACTGCAGAGAGTGCATCCCATAGTAGAAGGAGCTACATAACCCCATACCACCCAAGCGTCAGTAAGTTTCAGCCCAATGCCCCAGAACTGAAGACTTGTTGGGCCCTTGCCGTGTCTTGGGAAGCAGGCTTGCTGGACGCTCATCCCATGACTCCAGGTCAAAGCACCCCAAGTCGCGATGATGACACAGCCGAGTTAGCTTTTGCTCACGAAGTATGGATAAAAACCCAGAGGCCTTGGCTTCGAAGACCGTTGCAGGGGGAAAGGGGTCCTGCTTGCAGGCGACTGAAGTTCAGAGTATGCCTCACGATGTAAATGAAGCTCTGGCCCTTGACACGAGCATCCGCATGCGCAGCATATTAAATCAGCATGACGATGGCAGTAGCTCCTCCACCACACGAGTCGTGAAGTTCACTGTCAGAACCTCAGAGGACCAAGGCCCACTCACATCTGGACTTCCTCCAGAAACCCTGGGAAACACGTTGAAACACACCCTTGCAATCCTCTTGTCATCCATAGTTGGCTCTCGAGACCTCCAAGGGCACCCCTGCACTTGGAGAACCCTTCATCTTGTAACCCCTGACTCCAAGAATTTGTCCTGCCAAGATCACATCTGTTCCCTTGCCCCGCATGGCATAAATACTGCCAAAATGATATCACCGACCCTGTTCCGATGCAGAACAGAAGGGAGACCAGAATCAGCAATTGAGAGCCCTGGATTGACCAGAGGCCCTCGTGCACTCCAAGCGCATCCCCACATGGAACCCAATATATACGCTCATGAATGTTGTTAATGAAACTCACATACCCACGCCAAAAGCTAAATAACAACCTGACGAATTCAAACTCATTGATCAAAATCCCACCGGTCTCCAACATCACCACAACCTTCACGGCTTCTGCTTAGCTGCGACCCAATATCATTTGTTTGGGTTGTGCGCCGTAGCCCAAGTCTGCAATAGCAATCTGGGGCTACGAGCCGGGTGCCCTGTCAATCAAGTTCCTACAGAAGCCTGACCGCATCTGCCAGGCTCCCGTCAAAACAATAGCATACTACTCAAAAGAAGTGTTCGAATGATTCCAACTTCCCGGTACAATCCCCAAACTAACATTGAACCCCTGTACAGACTACCGTCCTTTTAGAGATTGGCCTGTTTGGGGGGTTCCGTGTTGGCTAAGGGAAACGTAAAGGGATCCTGCGACGTGAAGGTGGCTAAACCATTTTCGCATGTGGACATGAGCAGAGGCGACAAACTTCGAGCCACCTAAACAGTGAACCCCAAGCCCCTTAACCCTAAACTCCAAACCCTAAACCCTAAACTCTCAGCCTTCCAGTCAAGCTCAGGCGAGTAGAAATTCCTGAGCTCATCTGACTGTTGTTGTGGTGCCAGGTAACACGGGTAGTTTCCCAAAATCAGGAGCACTTCATGGTGGAGTCCCCGAAATAAGGACTATAGTATATTAGGGTCTATATTGGGGTCCCTCTATTTAGGGAAACTGGCATTACTTCCCTGTTGCCAAAAAATACGGACTATAGTTTCCATGTTCTTTTCCATTATCCCTGTATAATCCCCATGTGTATATATACATATACCCTATTACACTATAGTAGCTTCCATTTTCTTTTCCATTATCTCTATATAATCCCTATGTATATATATATGTATACATATATCCTATTAGGCTATAGAAGCTTCCATGCTCCTCTCCATCATCCCAATGCAACCCCCCCAATGTAAGCTCCGCTTTTCTAGATGCTACTCATCTGCCACAGTATGAAGGCGACACAAGAATGTTCGCAAATTCTGTGCCGACAAAACCTGTATCCCTACAAAGCTGGTATAATAGAGTATTTATTGGGGTTATATGGGGATAATGGAAAATAGAATGGAAACTACTATTGTAGAAATTTTATTAAGGTTATATTGGGGTTATATGGGGATAATGGAAAATAAAATGGAAACTATTATAGTGGGTTATATAGACTGCCTGTTGGCATGCGGACTTTCTGGCAACTGCATCATCGATCATCCTCGCAATGTACTGCAACCCGAACACGCTCCACCAGCCCCCTTTCTTACATCTATAATCCCTGCATGGGTATGCTTCTGCCACGGAGACAATCTTAGTACCACTACTTGTTGAACATAATCCTCCATCACCAGTGGGCTTGTAGTCTCCAAAGGTCTAGCACTAATAATGGGAATAAAGATAAAAATAAGTATGACAAAACTAGAAGTCACAACTAGTAAGAATAATGATAACAATTAACAAT